AACAACATATCAGTTTCACTATGTCGTAATAGTAAAACCATATTCTAATCAACTATATATAAATTTGATTAGAATATGATTTCATTATGTTGTAATAGTAGCATCTGATTTAATGTTCACGATCATCCATATAATTTTAATCAACTAATCTATAATTTGTTACAAATACAATGCTCAATTTTCAAAATTGAAAAGGAAAAAGATGGTCAAATTGAATAATAGGCATGACTATTTTACCAAAAAAAAAGCATGATTTTATTGAATTCTCTAAACTATATCGTAAATGAGAATATAGACTAGACCAAAGAAAGAGGAACGCAATAACCTACTAAAAAAAATTCGGTTGAAATTAACCGATTCATTAAACGTGGTGTGATAATTTCTAAGAGTTGGTCAAGGTTATCAATGACATAGTGGTTCAAATGTCTAAACGATACACAGTTTGGTTAGAACACCTTTTAATGTGTTTCAAGCAACAACTTTCATGTGGAAACTCTTTTGACGAGTTCACTGCTACAACAATAACTACCTTTGCATAATATGATAATTAAATGTTTTATTTTGACACAAGAAAAAAATTAATGTTTTATTTGCTATAAACATAAAAAGTATTATATGTAACTTTTCCAATTAATAAAACAAATTTTAATTTACCAAAAACATTTTTGCACGGATCTGGCCGAAATGATAAGTAAATAAACATAGTTAGCTATTAATGGTACCTTTGTACCTTCAAAGAAAATGCAAACACTATATCCCTTTCTAACCGACTGAATTAAATATTGTTGAAAGAAAAACAAAATTAGTCCAACAAACAAAATAACGAGTGGAAGTTCATCATGCAAACACTATATCGCTCCGAAAATTAAGATATCCGGATAAGGATAATAAAATCTAGGATCCGTGAAAAAAGGATCCAATATATCTATTAAACTAATTTTATATAAATTGATGAATTTCCACTCGTTGTGGCTCATGTGGAGTGGTCTGATCTATATGATTATGAACTTTGGTATGACCTTATTAGCAGTCGACTTGAGCAATCTGGACCAGTTGCAGTTGGTGTGAGGTGGTTCGAGAGATATAGTGAGCAAGAAGATCTTAATGGAATTCTTCAACCAACAGCCGACGAAGTTGTGCACAGTTTGAAGCTAATCCTGGACTTGGCCCTTTTCACGCCATGACCTTAGCCGGGGAAAGAGTCGACGAGAATGAGATTGCATTTTGGGAGATGCAAGATTCAGATGGAAATGTTGACAACGGAGACCGCGACTTTCTTCGATTCTCCCATGCTCTGTTCCTCACATCTTAATATTGATGCATGTGAGAATGGAGACTGCTTGAGCATCTTCTCCATCTCTTCTCTTATTACTTGTGGTTTATTAGACTTGGCTCCAAAAACATTTAAATGGCTTTTGTTGTGACTCCAAAATCTCCATCTCTTATTACTTGTGGTTTATTAGGCTTATGTTGAGAATGGTTATTCGTTGACCATCATCTCCATCCCAAAAACATTTAAAAAGGAACTTAAAAGAGTCGAGAACATTGGAGCAGAAGATTACTGATGATTTGAATAGGCGGACGCGTGGTGTGGGCATTTGAAAAGCACATGCCATGGACGATGAAGAACACGCCATTCGTGTAATCTTCTTAGTAACATGACTAATATGCATGATATATGAATAATGAATTAACTACGAAGCCATCAAAACAAAGAAGAAAAGTATGATAAATTTTCTTTGAGCAACATCTCATTTTCTTCGACCAGCCTTCATTTCAAGCTCTTTGGCCTCCCCCAAACACAAAATCTTCATGCACTCGTCAAACTATGGCGGTTCCAGCCATTTGATGGAGTTCAAGGTCAAAGATCTAACGGTTGACAAACGGCAGCTCGTCGAAGTTTTCGAGTTCAAAATGTAGACCGTGCCACATCTAAGCTTCTAACATTAACTCGTGTTTACGAGATTATGTTTGGACAGAAATGACATAGTTGAGAGCACAAATTTTCTTTTCACATTTTTAGAAAAAAATGGTACATTTAAACTAAATAAAATCTAATACTGGAACTGTGGAAAACTAACTAATGTTAAGTAACGAAAGGGTTGGAGATCAATGTTTGGAGAAAGTCAAGAGTTCCTGATAATG